GTACAGACGTTTCTGAAGGAGCTTGGCTGGAATACACTAACGACATTACGCAAAGCCAGCAGGGAGAGCCAGCCCACTGCTCTGCCTGAGAATCCAGGGCTGCGGGTCTCAAGCCTGGCTGCAAGTGGGAATCACCTGGGGAGCTTTAAAAAAAGACACCAAGTCCTTCCCACCCCCACCTGCCAGGTTCTGGCTTTTTTTTTTAAAGCTCCCCAGGTGATTGGAATCTGCAGCCTGGGAGGAGAAGCAGGGACTACATGGACTATGAATTCCCTGCACCCCGGCACCTCTGCACTTGATAAACACCTGATTTACAGGAAGGCGTAGGGAAAACAACTGCTTTCTGCTAAAGAAAACAAGTCTAAAGAAGTAATTCTTCCTTTCCAACCCCCTTCAGACACTTTCAGTTGGAACAAACAGTTCTTGCATCACAAACCACAGTGGGGAACAGAGATGATACACCGAGAGGCAGAGACACCTAACGGCTCAAGTGGAAAACAGTCCAGGAACTCTTATAAAATCACTGTTGATTCAGCTGAATAACATCATCCTTCACCGGCAAAAACGTAAATCCACCCCCTTGGAGGGCAAATAAGAACTTGTTTTTTTTTCTCCCAGATAATCTTCCCTGGGCAGGTGAGCTGCTTTAGCTGGCGGCAGAACCAGCCCCGGGAGAGCGGGTACAGAGACGTGAATGGCCCAGCTTACTGAAGACACAGCACTCAGAGCTGTGTGAACGGTGGTTAACGGCTCCGGCTGGCCTGCAGGTGCCTCCCCAGCATTTGCTCCTCCCTGCTCTCCTACTTCCTTTAATGATAATCTAGAAAACCAGCTGCCGTCCAGCCCACTTTGACTCATGGCAACCCTGTGAGTGTCAGAGTAGAACTGTGCTCCATTGAGTTTTCAATGGCTGATGTTTTGGAAGTTGATCGCCAGGCCTTTCTTCTGCGGTGCTCCCGGATGGACTCAAACCTCCAACCTCTCAGTTAGCAGCAGGGCGTCCGTTTGCACTACCCAAGGACTCTGAAAAGTACAGCCCAATTCAAGACAAAGGATCTAATCCCAACAAAGCTGTTGGACAGCAGAACAAAGCCCAAGGACAAGGGTTACTCTGGACCTCAGGGAACACCAAGTATGAGCTCCATGAGGGCAGGGATCATGTTCCCATCACTCCCACTCAGCACACCAGCCGCGGCACAGGGAAGGTGCTTGACAGGTAGCTGGTGAGTGAATGAATGAATGAATGAATTCTCCGTGGGCGCTATTTTTTCAGTCCCTCGGTACTTCTCTCAATTTTCTGGCAAGTCCTTAAAAGTCTAAAGGGGTGTGCATTATTTTTACTCTTTTTCCTTTTGTCAGAAGCAGAATCAGCTGGAAGAACTGGTGATGGGAGGGAGACAACCAATCCCTGACACCATGACAAACAGGAAGATCAGAAAGACAAATGGACAGAAAGCTCTCGCTTAGTGGGGTGTCGGGTCCACACCACACAGAAGACACTTTGCTTTATCTTCTGTCAGTGACCTTGACCCCGTAAGTTCTTCTGTAGTCAGAGTTCAAGATTCCACAAGGAACCAATCAGTAGTCTGGATTTTTAAAAATTTAGTCCAAATGAAGTGCTTTAGGTATGACTTTCCTTATTTCACACATTATGTCAAATTAATGACGCGCTGAGATCTGAGTATCACACACAGCATAGTAAACAATAAAACTCACTTCCGTCGAGTCAATTCGGACTCAAAGCGACCCTTTATGACAGAGTAGAACTGCCCCATAAGGTTTCCAAGGCTGTAATCTTTACAGAAGCAGACTGCCACCTCTTTCTCCCACGAAGCAGCTGGTGGGTTTGAACCACCAACCTTTACAGTTAGCAGCCGAGCGCTTAACCACTGTGTCAGCAGGGCTCAGTAAACAATAGAGACTTCTTTATATAAGTAACACTCACTAAAAGTCGCCAAATTTCCTCCACAGTCTTTCAGATTACAGAACACAGAATTTTGAAGAAACACCAGAGCTTCTACCTCAACTTCTTACCTCATAAGGACTGCACCCATGATAAAGGGTTAAACACCTCCCCAGGGCAGCTGGTTTTGGGAATGTTTTCCTCATGTTGAATGAAGAGCTGAAATCCGCCTTTTTCAAGTGCCGCTCAGTGGTTCTGGCCTGGCCTTGCATTGTGGTAAAGGGCAAAAAGCACACTTCCTCTCCCAGATGACCGTTTTCTAAGGTATGAATTCAGCTCTCACATCGTTCCTCAGTCACCTCTTCCCCAATTTCTCCGACCCTTCCCTGAATGACCACAGTTATCAACGTGATCTTCTGAACTGCGCATCTGCCAATGTCCTGTTTCTATGTTTCTAGCATTTAAAAGAAACGTAGACGTGTGGCAATTGAGATTATATGCCATCCTTTTGTTGTATAAGTTAACATGGTATACTGAACAAGCACATTCATTTTTACAACCCAATTTAAATAAATTTAGAATTAAAACGTCTTACTATGATTTTTTTTTTTAGCCTCCATCCACTGCTGAAACTCAGCTGTGCCCTAGGTGGCGCTAACTCTGATGGTTTAGGCTAGGCTTTCATTCCAGGGACAGGGTCTTCCAAAGGGCTTCCTCAGGCCTTAGAGAGGCTTATCTGGGAGATAGGAAATCACAGGCGGAAAAGCGAGGCATGGATATTGATTTTCGTCTGCTTCTCTGTTTTCATATATGTTGCTGTTAGGTGTCGTCGAGTCGATTTCGACTGATAGCGACCCCATGTGACAGAGTAGAATTGCACCAAGGGGTTTTCTAGGCTGTGATCTTTACAGGAGCAGATCTCCAGGTCTTTCTCCCACGGAGCTGCTGATGGGTTTGAACCACCAACCTTTCGATTAGCAGTCGAGAGCTTAACCGTTGCACCACCAGGGCTCCTTATTTTCACATATATACACCCCCGCCCCCACTCTCTTCAAATTGCTATGTTTGTTATATTCTGGAAGTAGGTTAGAAAACAGAATTCTAAACTTCTTTGAAAGTGTCTGTGAAAAAGAAAAACGTGTCTCGGTTTTGGTATCGGTCTTAAATCCTTACAGATAATAAGCTGAAGAGGACGGAGGCCGGCCACCATTAGGTCCTGTGATGTTAGATGCTAAAACAAATGACAACAGCCCCCTGTGGGGAGCTGGGAGGACGGCTGTGCTCAACAATTAGAAGAAGTCCCACGGAGACAATACAGGCTAGCCCTTGTCCCAGACTCCAGGTGTGCGGAATGCAGAAGCAGAAACAGGATCTGACAGTCAGGGTTCGCTGAGTCTTGAGGAACAAGCTCCTGACGTCTCCCTAGGGGGCTGATGGGTGAGCAGGGTGGCTGTTGCCGGAGGTGCTGCTGGCTGTGTACAGCGGGGCTGGGGAGGCGCAGGCCTGGCTCCCTCATCTGAACCCCTGGTGGTAGTCCACTGAGCCCCAGAGACCTGCGTATGTGCTAATATAAGCCTTGTAAGACTCAACATAAATGACGGGATTCCTTACTTGAGGACATGATTTCACTGAATGTGTATGTTTATCCAGGAGCCCTGGTGGCGCAGTGGTGAAGAGCTCAGGCTGCTAACCAAAAGGTCGGCAGTTTGCATCCACCAGTCACTCCTTGGAAACCCTAGGGCGCAGATAAACTCTGTCCCGTAGGGTTGCTGTGAGTCGGAATCAACTGGACGGCGCACAGCAACACAGTATGTTTCTCCTACACGTGACGGTAAAAAGTGCCCCTTCCCATCCTCACGATTTCTTGATCTCAGCCCCACCTCACTAATGTCTCAACATTTTATGGATTAACAAAATCGGTAACTTTTCCGAGCAGCGTTCAACATAAAGAAAGAAAAGAAAAAGGTGTTTTTCAGTTCTTCCACTGCCAACAAATGTTTAATTAAGTTGCAACTTTCTCTTTTCCTTGCAGTTTAGAGATTTAGACTCTCCGAATTCCTATAAGCCTGTGAGTACCTACCTGTTCTATTTTCTGTCAGTTTTTAAACGAGCGAGGAGAAACGACTGTAACGTGGGATTAGCTCTACCACAGCCGGGGCCCTCTTCTGTAGGACATCCCCACAGGAAAAAGAGACAGGTTACAGTAACGCAGCTTAAAAGAGTATTTTTTCCTCTTAGAGAAATACAAATGTTTAACTTACCAATTGTTTTCCACGTAGAAAAACAGAGTGTTAAACTTTGTCCAGTAGATAAGAAACATATAAGTCGGTTCCACACTGCATAGGTAGTGGAGGAGAGGAAGGATGGAGGAAAAGCGAACGGATGAGGAAGAATCGGGAGTGGAAGAAGGGAAGGAGGGAGAAGGGAGAGAAAAAGAAGGGGAACTACTGGGGAAAGAGGAGGAAAGGGGAGGGGGCAGACAGACACCCAGAGGCAGAGGAAAGACCAGGGTGCGAGCCGGGAGACAGGCAGGCAGGCTCGGGAGCGGAGCAGAGCCCTGAGCTGCAGTAAGCTTTTCTCGTCACATCTTTTGTCCCCTGAGCTGAGACACCTGCACGGGGTATCACTGTCCTAGCTCACTTCTCAGCAATATGTGAAGGACTAGGAAAGACTCCTATCACTTTGAGAAGCCTGAGTCTCAGAACAGGAAGGAAAACACATATTTTTTCAGCACAACCACGTGGCGGGCAGTACGCCCAACAGTTGTCTCACAGTGAAAACCCGATGAGATGGGCACTGTTGTTATTATCATCATAAAAAACCAGCTGCCATTGAGTTGACTGCGTCCCACGGCAACCCCACGTGTGCTCACGGCTTCCTTAACCGTAAGTAACCCTTTGACCTGGAGAAGCTCCTCTTTAGGGGGGCAATCACCAGGGGATATACGAGGAAATCCCCCTCTGGGCCAGGATGACAGTGACCTGAGCACATTCAGCCGTGAGCCAGAGGAAGCTGAGCTGAGAGCTGGATCTGGCTGTGGACGGAAGTGATTCCACCCGGAAGCAATCCCGGGCCCACGACCTCTGACGTGGCTTACCTCCTCAATCATCTGCTTGACTTTCTTCTGCTGGCAAAGCACCATGTCATCTAGGTGTCTGATCCGCTCCCGGAGGCTGGCGGAGGCCTCCTCCAGCCGCTGATACCTGACACTGTAGAAGACAAAGCAACCGAGTCCAAACCCAGGCGGCACACCAGCGTACAAACTCACGGCTTTAGAAACTCACAGGCTGAGTTTTCAGCAATATGGCCAAGTAACAAGAAACGAAACTCCAAAAATGCACTCTTTACTTTGTGTGTATTCTGGGAGGTTAACATAGGAGCCCTGGTGGCTTGGTGGTTAAAGCACCTGGCTTCTAACTGAAAGGTCGGTGGTTCGAACCCACCAGCTGCTCCATGGGAGGAAGATGTGGCAGTCTGTTCCGGTAAAGATTAGAGCCTCGGAAACCCTGTGGGGCAGTTCTCCTCTGCCCTATAGGGTCGCTATGAGTCGGAATCGACCCAACGGCAACGGGGTTTGGGTTTGGGTGGGTGATTAACTATTGATCAGCCGCCCCCACTGTAGAAGGAATACAGGACTCTTTTCCAAGTTCCACTCGCAAGTTTCATCTTGTTAAGGACAGTTACCATACGTTCCAGAAACTGAGAGAGTTTCTGTACTATTTACAGGCAGGAGAGGCTATCTTGGTATTAATACCATATTGGAACACCCAGTAAATTACCCTGATTAGAAGAACAGAGAAGGAACTGAGTCTAACAATACAACAAAATATCTGAAATCAAGTGGCAGAGTCCTGAAAAGTCTGGAATGATCATTGTTCTACATACCATTTGCTTTGTGTAAATGGGAAACACGTGGAAAGACCTTCTCTGCATCAAAGTAGAGCAGGCCATATCAAAAAACATCTTGTATTTTTGTGTTGAAGCCGCGCCAGTTATATTCTGACTTTGCTTGGTTCAAAGGAACCAAAGAAGTCAGCAGGTAGACTCTCAATTCTATGGAACCACCAGAGTGGAGCACCGACAAAGGGCCTGGTGGCCCACTTCCCATCTCTCCTAGCTCACTTCTCAGCAATATGTGAAGGACTAGGAAAGACTCCTATCACTTTGAGAAGCCTGAGTCTCAGAACAGGAAGGAAAACAGATATTTTTTCAGCACAACCACGTGGCGGGCAGTACGCCCAACAGTTGTCTCACAATAATAACCCAATGAGATGGGCACTATTATTATTATCATCATAAAAAACCAGCTGCCATTGAGTTGACTGCGTCCCACGGCAACCCCACGTGTGTCAGAGTAGAACTCCATAGGGCTGTCCACGGCTGAGTTTTCAGAAGTATAAATCATAAGGCCTTTCTTCCGAAGTGCCTCTGGGTGGACTTGAACCTCCAAACTTTTGGTTAGTGCCAAGTGTTTTAACTGTTTATTCTCCTATCATCATCATAACCACCTTTAAAAAAATAATCCCCATTTTACAGGTAAGCAAAGAATCTCAGAGAGGCTAAGCTAGCTTGCCCCAAATGCGCAAATCACCCCACCCTCGGTTTCCTTCACCAGAGAGTGTGCAGGCCTCTTCACATTTTTCTTTCTATCAGAGAAGGTGAGGCTTAGACACTCAGATCCAGGGGCAATGCAAGGTGTCACTGAGCAATATTTGGAAACAAAGAGAGACATTTTAAAATTAGTTTCCAGGGCAAATGGTATTAGCCACAGTTGAAGAGTTTTCCCATCAACAAGGTGCATCCTGTGGAGTTCAAGGGTATGGAAAGCATTTATAGACTGAACATTTGTAGTTGCGACAGTCTCTGATGTGTTCTGTTGTTGCTGTGTGCCATCGGCTCGATTCGAACTCATAGCGACCCTACAGGACAGAGCAGAACTGCCCCATGAGGTTTCCAAGGAGTGCCTTAGCGCCTGGTGGATTCGAACTGCCGACACTTTAGTTAGCAGCCTGAGCTCTTAACCACTGCACCACCAGGGCTCCTGATGTGTTCTGGTGCACTAGAAACAAGCCATGGGCTGTCAGATGTGCCTGTAAGCTCCTAAAGGAACTGGCTACACTCAGAAGATCTCAGCCCAATATTTCACATGTATAATAAGTCTGCAATTGTTGCCCGCATGAATGAAAACGCAAAAACCAAATGACCCCACAGAAACACAGCACGCCCTACATCGAAATCCATTATAAGACACAGGGCACTACGTCTTACCTTTCCTTGTCAGAATCAGTTCTATCCCCTGACATTTCTGCTTCACGCTCCAGGAGCTGGAGTTGCAGTTGATGACGTTCCTAAAACAGGCAGAAGGTGGTATTTCAATCAGTGGATCCCAAGTTAGGACAGAGAATGCACATCGAGCAATTCCATCACTAGTTCCAGTCCCCACCACCCCCAAGGGTGTTCCACACCCACCTACCCGAAGTCAAGTAAAGCCATATCTTTTGGTGTGTATTTATAGACATACTCAGGAATGAGAGACAAATTTCCTGGATAAAACCACTCAAGATTTAAAAAATAAAAAATTCCATCAGTCCAGGCTCAGATGTCTTGTCAAAAGTTACAGTCCTAAATAATAATATGAGCCCTGATGGTGCAGTGGTTAAGAGCTCAGGCTGCTAACCAAAAGGTTAATGATAATCAATACTCAAAATCAATGGCCTGTGATAGATACTGTAAATTTGTTGACTATTTTCTGTAACATCCAGAAAAAAGGCTTCTGGGATGCCGGTCATATCCTATATGTGAACTTGGGTGGTGTTTTTACACAGGTGTATTCACACGTAAAAATGCACAGCAGTAGTCATGATAATGGCTCCACAAAGATGTCCACATTCTAATCCCCAGAACCTGTGAATATGTTACCTTTCTCAGCAAAAGAAACTTTGCAGTGTGATTAAATTAAGCATCTTGAGATGGGAAGATAATCATGGACTAGCCAAGTGGATCCAATGTAAAAATCACAAGGGTCCTCGTAAGAGGCAGGCAGAGGGTCAGAGTCTGAGAGAGAAATGGGAAGACGCTATGCCCTGGCTTTAAGATGGAGGATGGCGCCATGAGCCAAGGAATACAGGAGGCCTCCCACAATCAACATCCATGGAAGCAGCAGTCAAGAAATCAAAAGACGCCTTGCATTGGGCAAATCAGCTGCAAAAGTCCTCTCTAAAGTGTTGAAAAGCAAAGACGTCACCTTGAAGACTAAGGTGTGCCTGACCCAAGCCATAGTGTTTTCAATTGCCTCACATGCATGCGAAAGCTCAAAAGTGAATAAGGAAGACCGAAGAAGAATTGATGCCTTTGATTTGTGGTGTCGGTGAAGAATATTGAATATACTATGGACTGCCAAAAGAATGAACAAATCTGTCTTGCAAGAAGTACAACCAGAATGCTCCTTAGACGCAAGGATGGTGAGACTACATCTCACATACTTTGGACACGTTGTCAGGAAGGATCAGTCTCTGGAGAAGGACATCATGCTTGGTACAGTACAGGGTCAACGAAAAAGAGGAAGACCCCCAACAAGATGGATTGACACAGTGGCTGCAACAATGGGCTCAAGCATAACAATGATTGTGAGGATGGCGCAGGACCGGGCAGAGTTTCGTTCTGTTGTACATAGGGTCGCTATGAGTTAGAATCAACGGCACCTAACAACAACAATGTGTTCTGGCTTTAAGATGGAGAATGGGGCCATGAGCCAAGGAATACAGGAGGCCTCTAAACCCCATTGCTATCAAGTCGATTCTGACTTACAGCGACCCTACAGGACACAATAGAACTGGCCTATAGGGTTTTCTAGTCGATAACCTTCATGGAAGCAGACTGTCACATCTTTCACCCACAGAGCAGCTGGTGGGTTTAAAATGTTGACCTTTCAGTTAGCAGCTGAGTGCTTAACCACTGCGCCACGAGGGCTTCTTCATAGGAGGTCTCTAGCAGCTAGAAAAGGCAATGAAGTGTACTCTGCCCTAGAGCCTCCAGAAGGAATGCAGCCCTGCTGACACCTGGATTTTAGGGCTTCTGACCTCCAGAACTGTGAGATAATAAATTTGTGTTGTTTTAAGCTACTAAATTTGTGGTAATTTTTTATAGCAGCAATAGGAAACTAACACATCTATCAAGATGCACACTTAGGATTTGTAAGCTTTGACCGCTGTGGGGACCATGGTCTTGGAGAACATCTAGCTCAATTGGCATAACATAGTTTATAAAGAAAATGTTCTACATTCTACTTTGGTGAGCAGTGTTTATTTACTCACAAATAAAAGCTTGTGAGTGGCCATCTAAGACACCTCACTGATCTCATCCCGTCTGGAGCAAGAAGAATGAAGATAACCAAAGACACAAGGGAAAGATTAGTCCAAGGACTAAGGACCACAACTACCACAGCCTCCACCAGACTGAGTCCAGTACAACTAGATGGTGCCTGGCTACCACCACCGACTACTCTGACGGGGATCACAATACAAGGTCCCAGACAGAGCTGGAGAAAAATATAGAACAAAATTCTAACTCACCAAAAAAAAAAAAACCAGACTTACTGGTCTGACAGAGACTGGAGAAACCCCGAGAGTATGGCCCCCAGACACCCTTATAGCTCAGTAATGAAGTCACTCCTCAGATCCACCCTCCAGCCAAAGATTAGATAGGCCCACAAAACAAAACGAGACTAAAGGGGCACACCAGGCCAGGGGCAAGGACAAGAAGGCAGGAAGGGACAGGAAAGCGGGTAATGGGGAACCTAAGGTCGAGAAGGGGAGAGTGTTGACATGTCTTGGGGCTGGCAACCAATGTCACAAAATAATACGTGTATTAATTGTTTAATGAGAAACTAATTTGCTCTGTAAACCTTCATCAAAAAAAAATTACAAAAAAGATTTTTTATATTGATTACATATTGAAGTCATATTTTCAATATCTTGAGTCAAATAAAATACCTTATTAAAATAAAAAATTCATAAGTGTGTATATATATGTAAATTTAAATATTTATCTAAAATAGTACTATGATAATCTGGACAACTATTTTTTTGGAGAAACTGGAAAAATGTTAATAAAATGTGGTGCCCATATTAACCAAAATTATACTACAAATATGCCACAGACTTGAGTGTAATGCATTTCACGGAAATGAGGTGTACACCATGCCCACTGACTGGACACAGGTTATCTTGCTTTAGATCCTCCTCTGAGAACTACCATGCCTCATCTTTATTCTCAGAAATTCTCCCCAACAAAACTCTTACCAGTTGGGGAGATTCCAAACCCTCTTTCCTCCAAATTATTAACCAAACTCATTGCCATCGAGTCGATTCCGACTCGTAGTGACTCTATAGGACAGAGCAGAACTGCCCCATAGTATTTCCAAGAAGCAGCTGATGGATTCGACCTGCTGACCTTTTGGTTAGCAGCCATACGCTTAAGCACTGCGCCACCCGGGCTCCAAATTATTAACAGCAAATCTTTAAAAATTCAACTGTCACAACTTCTGTGGTCAGTGGTGCGGAACCCCTGGCGGGGCATAGATGGTTAGGCGTTGGACTACTAACTGAAAGGTTCAAACCCACCCCTAGGTGCCTGGGAGGATAGCCCTAGTGATTGGCTTCCAGAAAGGTCACAGCCTTGGAAACCCTATGGAGCAGTTCTACGCTGCACACACGGCTTGCCATGAGTCGGCATCTACTCCAGGGCAACTAACAACAACAAAGCAATGGTATACCAATTACCCCCGGCCACGGAGTCAGCCACCCTAGAGAGCAGAGCAGAACTGCCCCCGAGGTTTCCAAGGCCGAAATCTTTACAGGAACAGATTGCCACAACTTTCTCCCACCAAGCGGCTGGGGGGTTTGAACCACCGACCTTTTGGTTGGCAGCCGAGCACTTGAACCACTGCACCGCCAGGGCGAGGAATATACCAAAGAGGTGGAGGAGCAGTCCACCCTGACCAGGAAGTGGACACTATCACCCGTGTATGTAGAATAATACTAATGACTCTCAGTGGGGTTTTGTTATTGATTTCAAACTCTCTACAGCGAACGCTTGCTCTCATGATCCGGCTTGGGTGGGACGTGCCACGAGCATAGAGTTAACAGTGACAAGCCTTTCCCAGCTGAGGCGCCCTCCAAAACAAAATGCTGTTATAAAGTAGGGCAAGGCCTAACTTCCAGCACACTTTTAAAAATCGATTTTTTTTTTAATTGTATACTTAAGTGTATACTACACAGTAATTTTTTACATTTGTATACGCCTGTGAAACCACCACCCACATCAAGGTATAGAATACAATCTGTGCCCAGAAGGGGCCCTGGGGGAGCGCTTGCCTTCAAAGATTTTAACTGATCAGAAACAAGGTGTTTTGAACACAATGTTCAGTAAGAGAAACAGTAATTGAAGCACAGACAGAGAAGTCATTCAAAAGCACACAGCTTGTCCTTGGGCAGTGTCCCAAGACAGGTAAGAAGGGGATACAAACACCACCGCAGTTCACGCCTGGGGACGTGATGTTTCGTGGGGTGTGGTGGAAATCTGGCAAGACTCCTGCTCTCAAAGATTTATTCCTGCGGGGGAAAGGGTGGTAAATCTACATCCAGTGGTAGCCAGGCAAAGAATGCATTCCTCCAGCCGAAATGGAGAAGATTTAGAGACAGGACAATAAGTTCTCAGTCACTAAAGAAAAAGCTCACACTATTTGGGGAGTGTTTTGTTTCACGGAAATGCTGCCAGCAGACCTAGCCTCACCACCTCCCTGCCTCCACCCATTCGCCTCTCAGAAGGGCTCCATGTGGGAGTTTTCAGGATCCCAGGGAGACAGAGAGGATAAGCTATAAAAGAGGCCCAGCTCAAGAAAGCCCACTCTGGGGCAAGCCTGTAGCAAAATAAAAATCAGAGTCACAAACTATTGAGCCCTAACTACAGAGTCCCTGGGTGGTGCCAACAGTTAATGCCCTCAGCCGCTAACCAAAAGGTTGCAGGTTCAAGTCCACCCAGAAGTGCCTCAGAAGAAAGTCCTAGTGATCCACTTCCAAAAAATCAGCCACTGAAAACTCTATGAAGAACAGGTCTACTCTGACGCACATGGGGTCACCATGAGTTTGTTCGTTTCTTACTATGTGCCAAACATTGGGCGTAGCACTTTGCCTGACTTTTTCCCATTTACTCCTCACAGAAAGCCTAAGACTAAGAATTATTCTTGTAAGTGTTGTACAGGATACGAAACTGAGTTTGGAAAAGTCAAGTAACTGCCCGAAACTAGAAAGAGGGGCAAGGTTCAAACCCTATGTTCACTCATACCGTTCTAAAACCCGTGTCCCTGTCCCCTACAGGTACTGTCTCTCCGTAAGAAGCCTTCCCTGCCCAAACTGCCTCCCCATGCTGCCTGCTCACCTCGCTTCTTCATGCTGCAGGAAAATCTGTCATCTCAACAGAACATGGGAGTTAACCAGCTTCTGCTGTCGCAGGAGAACCGTCATGTGGGAGAAGGAATCCCATCTTTTATTGACCACCACTGAAAAAACCAAACCCACTGCCGTCGAGTCCAACACATAGTGACCCTACAGGATAGAGTAGAACTGCCCTATAGGGTCTCCAAGGAGTGGCTGGTGGATTCGAACTGCTGATCTTTAGGTTAATAGCCGAGCTCTTAACTGCTGTGCTACCAGGGCTCCATATCTAACCAATGCTGACTTTAGTCCTAAACAAGTCAACCTTCCTCTCTTCAATAAAAGATGGGATTCTGTTTTCCCAGGTGGTAGAGGTGAGATTGTAACTGACTCTTCAGTTTGCTGAAGTCCCTCCCAAATACAGATACTATTAGTAGCAACGGGAGCCCCCAGGGAGCCCCGAGGCTCCACAGTGTTGAATTTAATGCTGTCCCACTCTGGTTGCACCCTGCCTGGTCAGGGGACTGTGGAGACGCTGAGGGGTGAGGGGACCTCTTCTGGGGATCACTTAGCAGCCCAGCTGTTAGCCTTGTTAACACTGTCATACCCCTTCCCTCCACCATCACGTTGGAAATGCTCAGCATCCAGAATACAAGTTCCACGGCACCGATAACGTCACGGTCTCAGCAGGTCACCACTAGTCTGCAAACTCACGCAGCTGGAGAGTCATTTCCAGAAACCAGCCGCAGCGCTGGCCCTATGCCACTGTGCCCTGCCCCAGAAGTCAGCTGTCACCTACTAAAGGTCACCCATCCTTTCTTTCCCTTCCGCCCTTCCTCTTTTCTCTCCTCTCGCCCACTCCTCTTCCCTTCTCTTAGCTTCCTGATCTCCAGCCTCCTCTCTTCTCCCCACTTCCTGATCTCCAGCCTCTTCCCTTCTCCCCACTTTCTGATCTCCAGCCTCTTCCCTTCTCTCAGCTTCCTGATCTCCAGCCTTCTCCCTTCTCCCCACTTCCTGATCTCCAGCCTCCTCCCTTTTCCCCACTTTCTGATCTCCAGTCTCATCCTTTCTCCCCACTTCCTGATCTCCAGCCTCCTCCCTTTTCCGCACTTCCTGATCTCCAGTCTCATCCCTTCTCCCCACTTCCTGATCTCCAGCCTCTTCCCCTTCTCATCTCTGGCTTCATGAAATCCCATCCCCACCTTCAGCCTGCTTATCACACCTACAAAGAAATGTGGCATCTCCCGGCAGGGCAAAGCCAACCCTTAAGACCAACGCCCAGAAATGACAGGGATGGGTGTCGATGTAACAGCTAAATAGGGCTTGACTACCTAGCCGGTAACCTAAATTCATGCCTGGGGCACTGGCAAAGCAGGGCTCCTAAAATATTAACTTTTTGTGAAGAATTTCATATGTAATTTTCTTAAAAAACACTGAAATAGTTACTATGGGAAAAAATCAGAGCTTTGTTGGACTTCCTTACGTGTTGTGTGTGTGTATATATATATGTATATTTTTTTTAATCACAGAATTGAGGGATGTGAGAGATCAGCGTTGAGGGCTTCCCAAGTCTTCAGACAGGCTTCGGGGTCGGGAGCAGCGGGGTTCTGAGACAGTGGGGACTAGGGCCAAGGATGGTTACCTTCTCCATGAGCTCGATCAGCCTGTCCAGCTCCCCGATCCTCTGGTCTTTCTCCTCCAGGCTGATCTCCGTCGCGTGCATCTTTCTGTTGGCCTCTTCAAGGGCTTTCAGAAAACTATTGGTTTCTTCCTGCAAAAGAAACACTCTCCTTAACAACACCACCACTGAGTACCGAGGCTACCGACGGGGTCCACGCACATTCAGCCTTGCTCAGTCATAATCTCTGACGTATGACCTTAGGTCCCAGAAGTGCCTCAGATCATGAACTCTGCCTCCGCGAGTCTGGTTCTCGCCTGTGAAGAAAGACACACTGGGCAGCTTTTAACGGACCTGGTTATTTCTTCCCCTTTTAGCCCTTAAGGTTTGGTATCTAAAAGGTGTAAAAAGAGCCTGCAAAAAAAGTTCCTTAGCCCTTGACTAGCTGCTCAGAGTATCATCGTCTTTGCCAAGAATGTGAGGGAGTTAGGGCTGCCTCTGGAATTGTACCAACTCGCCCCTGAAAACAAAACCCAGCCAATCGGTCAGTGTGTTCTATTAAACCTCTAAGGATATAGGAAAAGGCAATCATGGTGTCCCTGTCTTCAAGGAACTTATGATCTCCCAGAGAAGCCAAGCTGGGAGACACACGCCCCAGCTCTAATAACGGTATAATGAAATTCCACAGCACAGAGCAGAGACAGAATGGGTGTTCCAAGGACACAGGACACTTGAAGCTGTGTGACAGAGAGATTTCACCTATTGTTAGGTGGCGTCGAGTTGGCTCCGACTCCCAGTGACCCTACGTATAACAGAACCAAACACTGTCTGGCCCTGTGCCATCCTCACAATAGTAGTTATGTTTGAGCCCATTGTTGCAGCCACTGTGTCAATCCATCTCACTGAGAGGGTGGCATTTCTGGGGGCTTTTGGCAGCTGAGGGCGGATGGAGGGTAGGAAAAGGGGAAATTCCAGGTAGAGAGGAGGGGCCGGAGTGAGGACGGGCATGGCTGTGGGAAAGCCAGATCCTCTGAGATGCTGGTGAATCGTCCAGCTGGCTAGAGAAAGGGGTGCGTTCAGAGACAGAGAAACGGGACCTATTCTGAACGGGGAAGGGGATGAATAAAGGAAGCGAGGGAGGGAAGCCGGGAGGGGAGAGAATGAGCAAATAAATTCCTTTGCCTTCTCGCTCTCCTTAGAGTACATTAATGCACCTCTGAGAAGAAATCCGTCTATTTATACTTCACCGACAATAATGAGGAGGCCTGCGTGGTGCAAACAATTAACGTGCTCGGCTGCTAACCAAAAGATTGGAGGTTTGAGTCCTCCCAGAGGCGCCTTGGAAGAAAGGCCTGGTGATCTACTTCTGAAACATCAGCCGTCGGAAAGCCCTACGGAGCACACTCCTACGCTGACACCCTGACTAGATGGCAGGGGGCTGGTTCACAGTAAGGACCCAGCGCACGGCGGTTACTCCATCGGCCGTCACCGCGCACAGACCAGAAGCGCCTCCTTCCAGGCGTCGTGTTTCCGCTGCTTCTCGCGCAGCTGCTCCTCGTACTGGCTGTACAGCCTCCTGGTCATCTCTCGAATCACCTCAGCGTTGGCTTCCTGGGACCATTCCACCTAGAAAGAGAGTCGGGTCAGCTCTAGAGCTTTCGCAGGTTTCCGGGGCTCCGCGGCCCCAGCTCTGAACGCGCGGTGCACGGACACGTGGAGGCGGGAAGGCACCAACCCAGAGCCAAGAACCAGTCCGGGGCCCGCGCAGAGGGAGGCAGCAGGCATAAGGGCGGCGGGTAGACGGAGGGCAGAAGAGGGGCGGGCGGGCGTACAGAAAATAAAAAGTGGCACTTCACACTGACTTATTTGGTATTTTCTGGACATTATCAAGAGCTTGGCTGCTAACTAAAAGACTAGTGATTCAAACCCACCAGCCGCTCCTTGGAAACCCTATGGGGCAGTTCTACTCTGTCCTATAGGGTCGCTATAGCCGGAATCCACTCTACAGCAACAGGTTCTTTTTATCAGAACAAAGGTGTTCCACACAAGTGAATTTTTCTTCAGCAAATACAGTGCAAGGGGGAAAAAAGATGGAGGTAGAACATATAGATTAAAAGAGGCTTACAAGACATATTAACTGAACGGTGGTGAAATAATTTGGAAAAAGATAGTGATAAGGGTCGCACGACAAAGAATGTAAACAATGTCACAGCATTAGACCTGTGGAAGTTGTTGAATCGGCTAACATTTTAGTGTGTAGATTTTCACCACAATAAACAAACGCAAAGAAACGAAAGATACTAACTAACTGCAATGTGTGAACCTTATTTTTTCCTGAACTGAATAAAAATAAGACAACCAGGGTAATTTAAACATTTTATTTTATGCTATTACGAATTTTTAATGGCATGAGAGTCTTATCTTTCAGTGTTATGTGCCGAGATATTTATGGATGAAAGCCTCCAAAACAACCAGCAGGAGCATGGTGGGAAGGAGGTGAGGGTGTAGCTGAAACAGTATTGACCCTGAGTTGGTATATGTTGGGTACATGGAGGTTCATGATTCTGTTCTCTCTTCTTTAGTAAATCATGGAAATTTTCTAACAGAAAGTTACTTTTTAAGAAAAAGAAGAGAAGTGGGTCGGGCTGAGGCTCTCCTGTGGAGAGAGCACACAATCACGGCATCACAAAGGGTCTACCTAGGGAGGGATGCTACTGGAGGTGACTAAGGTGACTGCCCACCTGGCCGGAGGACCTGGATGGGGCCCCTGTTCCAGCCTCATTCCAGCAGAGAAGGGTTGAGGGAAGTTGGGGGAGGGGAAAATCAAAGGTCTTAAAGGAAACTTCATCTGGAAACAACCCAAATGTTCACCAATAAGAAACCGCATAAATAAATTACAGCACACCGGCACAACTGAATACGTAGCTGTTAAAAAGAACAAAGTAAAACTAGATGTGCTGATACACAATGATCTTCCAGACCCAGAACGTGAAAAATGGAAGGTATAAAGGTCTGTTTAACATTCTAACGTGTATGTAAAAAGAGATACACACGTAAACACAGAAAAATACATGCATATAAGCTTGATTATTCACAGGCTAGGAATAACTATGGGGGGTGAACAAAATGGTAGCAATGGTTGTCTCTAGGAAAGAGAACTAAGGAATGGGAGCTCGGAAACCAGACAGACTTTCTCTTCCCTAGTTTACCTGTTATATGGTTTGGTTTTTTCCCCCTGTGCACGTATTACTGAAAAAATAATAATAATGTTAAAACAGCAGGGAGGCTTTTGAAGAGAAGGTCCCCACGTGGACTGAAGTTGTCCCATCAGTTGCTCTGGCCGAGCCAGTCTGTCGTTAAGACTTCAGCTAAATTCAAATAAGAAATCTGGACGCATCCTCTCCATACCTTTGTGCTTTTCCAACGGTCTGAAACATTCCAGCCTGGCTTGGGGAACACTATGCTAGGGGCCTGTGGCGGCTTGAGCAGACCCCGCTTCGGAGACAGAGACAGTGGATGTGGATGTGAGTGTGGGTGGGAGCTCAGGTGGGTGGGAGCTGGTGTTTGCTTTCTGCCCGGCCCATTTCCTCACACGTGCACCTCCTGACATTGATGTTATGCTGCTGACGGTTCACTTGTGACCCTTCCTGCCAGGTTGTTGCTTGTTCCAGAGCACTGAGCTGGCTGACTAGGGAATCTCTGGGTAGCTGAGGCCTCACTCATCCTTCACTGGTTACCTAACATTCTCTTCAAGGATTTGACAAAAGTTTCCATTGATGCCCTCTAATGCTCCCTGTCATCAGTGGGCAAAAAGCCACAAAATGGAGAATCTTAATCAGAGGTATCACTACCTGAGAGCGAGCCAGCGTGCCCCATACTCCATGTCTTCTACAGACATGTCGCTGGAAAGGGCTTTGTCCTTCAGGTCCTGTTTTCTCTGCATCCAGGTCCCGTGAAACACCCGGAGTCCCTGTAACTGGTTGTTTTTGGTTTGTTTTGTTTTGGGGGGGAGTAACATGAGAGGAAGAGTAGGGAAAGTCTCTTTAATTCTGCTGCTCAGGATGAACATAAGCACTCATTTCTGAAACAGGCAATTGTGGGTGAGGCCTGGGCTCCATGGAAGCCGCCGGACGGCCACAAAGCCTAAGATGCCCCCCGACCCTGACACCATACCGCCTCTGGAAGAGACACATATAGGAGGCAACAAATATTTGTAGAATGAATGGATAAAGTTCCTAAGCCATGGAGGAGACTCAGACAGTGATTTCAGACTTATCTGGCAACAAAATCCTCTGTTTCAAAGTGACTCTCACTCAGAACCATAAAATATTCATTGGCAAAGAGAAGAGCTGCCGTATTTGAAGTGAGAGCAGAGGGGAGCCCATCTGCTCTACACCTCCCTGGTCCCTCTCCCCAGGGTGGCTGTGTTTGGCCAAGCGGACGGTACACCGCACGCCACAGGTGCCAGTTACAGAGGCCATGCAATGCGGTACGGCAGCCCCCTCCTCTCCTCCACCCACCCTGGAAACAGCCCACAGGCAGGAGGACCATACATCCCAGCTTATTTCCCAACTAAATTACTAACAGCACCACCTTTCGCTCTCAAACATATTCAGGTTTGAGCAATAAATTATATAGCTACATAAGGTGCCATCCTACAGGCTAATCTAAGGCTTGCTGAACACAATTTGAAAGCCACAGACTTAAATAAAAAAGAATTAGTTCAGGAAATAATTTGCTCCTGCCCCTGGATAGGAATCCATCCATGTTTCAAATCTGGGCGGGGGGGCACTAACACCACCAGGGCATTAGACAATGAACAAGCACAGCCTGGCGGGTAAGAGCGGCGTGCCCAGAGTCCTCAACCACCCATCATGTTTTCTCTTGAGAAGCGGCCAGGGCCCACATACCAGCAAACCATGCACCCTTGGCTCTTTTTTGTCAGATCAGACAGTTGGGACCTCAGAGAAAATCTAAACAACTAAGGGCAGATCTCTAAAGGATCTGAAGTCCCAAACATGTGAGGGTCCCGACTGCTTTCTCAGCAATGTAATGGCACTGCCGTGCTGACTGTCTAGGCAGCCCTTGCAGCCCCTGGGGGTCCATGAAGGAAGGTCCAATGGGACTTTAGGGGGTACCCACCATCTGGACTGACAATAGTAATCACAGAAAGCTCTTTAGTATCTTCAAGACACGTCCTGTGGGGTTGGCCACCAAAAAGACAAGAGAATCCAAAGAAGAAGAGAATGGAGGAAGGGAAGTGGAAGAGTGGAGGACGGGAGGAGAGAGAGGTGTACGAAAGAGGAAGGCTAACAGGACACGTAGGCTCATGTACTTCACCTTCATTTTCAGAAGCTGGTTTTCAGCCTGCGCAGCCTCTAGCTGCCTCTGCTTCTCCTGCAGCTTGTCCCTGGATGCTTGGCATGTCTGCTGCAGATTTCTGATCTGACCCTTAATGTTGTTATTTTCCAAAGTAACATCCACAAGCGTTTTCTGTTGGGATCAAAATAAAAACAAAACCCTGTGGTGTGAGAAAACATGGCAAGAGTCAGGGACTGGGACACCCCTTTGTCACTTGTCATTGAGGTAGATATCGGACCACAGCACTGCAGCCTGGGACCCTAGTGTTGCAGGGGCTGAGGGCCTCCCACAGTGCTCAAGATGTTTGCCACCCTGTCACGTGATGGAAAGCAAGCCTCCCCCCACAACTGCTGCCAACACCACTTGCTACCACTCAGGATAGATGGAAATGTATTAAAATGGGGCCTTCCCAAGGAAAAGTATCCATAATACAGCATTCACTTGGAAAAAAGGAGTTGAAAACAATCCCACTTTGAAAAAAAAATGTGTAAGTGTATGTTCAAATATGTGTTTATTCACTGGGAGAAAAAAAGACTAGGAGGAAGTATACCAAAATCCAAATAATGGGTTATGCTATGTGATAGGGCTATAGATGATTTTTATTTTCTTCTTTGTGAATTTCTATATTTTCCAAATTCCCACAATGAAATCAGAAAATTAAATGAGTTTTATAGAATGAAAATATCCCCCTTTTTTCTTAAAAGGGCTGTCGATTCTGTACTTCTAGACTACCCAGCAGGGTAGGGACAACGTGGCTGAAGTTATTCCAATGCCTGCATGCAGAGGAAGACATGATAAAGGAATACCCAGGAGTAGAGTTTACTGACTCAGACAAGTGCCTAGCAAGAGCCTGGTGATTATTGCTCCAGGCCACCCACTGAAACAGAAATGTTTAAATTAATATTGAGGTTATTTAGTGTTTCAGTTTCTAGTTGGTTGACTCTCATTACAGAGAAATGGCTCCGATATGCCCGAGAATTCCCACCACTGGACACTGGGTCATGGGCACCTTCTACTACCTCCCCAAGTCATCCGCAACTTCAAATTAAAAGATTTGGAAATGCTGGTGTTGGACACAGTTTCTTTGTCTATGATGAGTCTCTGAAGCTTCCCCAACTCCTTAGCCTCCACTTTGAACAAAAATAGTCTCACATTCCTAAATCCACCTGAATCAGGAAAAAGAATTCTCATTGGTGGTAAATAGATATTGAAGGAAATACTGAAGCCATCTGGAGCCATGCAATCAGACCATTTGAGCTTCATGGGGCTTTAGGAACCACCTAGTCCAGCCGCCCTTACTCCAAGCCCCACCAGCTTTACAGACATTACTCTTTTCTTCATGAACCTACAGTCTGGACCAAGTCTGCCACTAGCAGACACCTTGTTTAAGTCATTTCTCTGTGTTGGCTTCAGTTTCTTTTCCCATAAAACAAGACATCGGAATTGCTCATCTCAACAGTTCTTTCTAGCTCAGACTTTCTGTAAATTCAAACTAAGGGTCCTCTCACTATTAACAATGATAAACGTGGGGTGGTGTGGACAACGAAAGAGGTTGGGACCTTGCATAAATAAGAAGTCAACTACCTTCAGACTCATTTGAGTTTCCCAGCTATGAGATGGTGCCTTAAAAAAAATGGTTTGATTTTCTAGTTATAAAGCTCCTTTAGCTGCCTGAGAATAAGAGACTGGATAACAACTAGAAGTCTATCAAGGTACCTGGGTTAGGGTTGACCCTGTCTGAAGTCAGATGAGGTAAAACCCTTCATGGGTGGTCAAGAGGGAAGTAAAGAGAGCCTTAGAGAGCTCCCTGGTGGCAGGTGGAAGGGAAAGCAAAGGCTACTGAATAAACCAGAGCCCAAGGTGAGCTTGGCCTGAGGCCTGGGGAGAAGGGGCATGCAGTAAAGAGAGCCAGGAAAAGGGTGGGACTTAGAGGCCCCATCAGTCATAAATGGGTAACCCAGACCAACTCAAATACCAGGCCTACCAAGCCCCACTAGCTCTGTTGTTGGCATACTGCCACATCAGTTATTATTAGAGAGTGCTAGGTTCCGAGGGAAGTAGATAATCCTACCATGAAAATTTGTTTGCTTGTCTAATATATTATTTATATTCCACCCAAAAGGATTTGAAATAGCTTGTGGATCTTTTAAGAGGAGGGAAAACAGGTAAGCACCAAATAACGAAGTTGGAGGAGGGGCAGAGACTATTATATATTTCAAAATTAAGGTCATGAGAAGCCATTTCAGGTAAATATAACACTATGTTCTCATTAGTTTCAATTAATTTGCATGTTAGGTGGGGATTCAGTTGGAAGAGTAAATGGGCAGCATGTGAGTAGTTCTCCATTGCCATCGAGTCAATTCTGACTCATAACGACCCTATACGACAGAATAGAACTATCTCGTGGGGTTTCCAAGACTGTGATCTTTATGGAAATAGACTGTCACATCTTTCCCCTGTGGAGTGGCTGGTGAGTTCAAACCACTGACCTTTCGGTTAGCAGTCAAGCGTTTAATCACTGCGTCACCAGGGCTCCTTGGTTGAGTAAACTAGTCAAGAGAACAATTCCCTTCAAACGGGTTGACAACACATATTTTCACAAATTTCGGACACTGGGTTTTTCTGTTTCCCCATCTGGTACTATAAGACATTCTTTGAAGCACACATGATTCTTTCTAATGCTCAATAATTTGTAAATTAAGAAAAAGGGCTTAAAAGCTTGTATGAGAGCTCCAAAATTGAGGCGTTTGGCTTTAGTAAAATGGCTAGCCTGAGGTCTGAGCCTTGACTCCATTTTGGTATTTACTGCTTTGCTTCAGCTACTTTCAACAGTTGACAGCCAACTCATTCCAGGAAGCCTACCACCCCTAGCTTGCTTTCTTTCCTCACTCAGGGAAATGCTCACACAGGCTGGCTCCGAGGCGTCTACTGATAAACAGATGCTGGAGCTATTTTAAAATTTACGGTTACTGAAACAATGTCTAAGGGGCCTCATGATTGTCTTGCGACTGTTGCTTGAATTTTCAAAGTTTAGCCAATCAAAAGATTTTGCTATGCATATAACCAATCCAAATGATCCATATTAACTTGTTAACCAATCATGTTAAGGTCCCCTTTCGAGATGCCCTGCCTCTGATTTCTTTACATCACCATCCGCCAATCAGAATATTATACTTTGATTTTACCATATAAATGTACCTGCTTGCCTTCACCCTGGGGGAGCATTTGATTTCACTTTTGTGAGGTTAGGCGTTTCTCTGGTTCGAATCAATTTAAACCTTCAATAAATCTCTTTGCCTTTATTTTGATAGAGTTCGTGTTTTTTACTCTTGGACAAGCCTTTGGGAGTCACTTGCTGAGAATGAGTACAGATTGCCATCGGTTAAGTCTGTCTTTTCTGTGATTGGGTGGACCCTTCTGTAACACTGGGGCTCCAGGGAGAATAGGCTGACGTGCTGTGTTAGGCACTGATACTTAAGCCCACTCAGGTGTCTGGCGGACCAAGTGACATCTCTAGCACTGAGCTCAGAATCTAAATTCTCATTGTAATGAGGGCAGAAACAACCGCAATGCAAAGGTTTAGGGTCTCAGCTTGGAAATGGTTCCTTCAACTTCCTTCACCATCTTCCTGGCACAGCCTTTAATGTGGCTATGCTTAATGATGCTGAATAATGACCTGAGGGCATTCTGCGACTTATCTGTCTACAAAGAGCAGAGCCTGCCCTTGGTTAAGTCTGGTTTCACTGCAGCAGAGGGGACCCCAGTCTAACAGTGAGCAGATGAATACCTGCAGGCCAATGGAGTCCGACACCAAAGCTGAGTTCACGGCGTTAAAACTATCCAGGGCTGACGACTGTGTCTGGATGTGATTTTCCAGATAGTCCTGCTGAGCGTGTGAAACCTGGACAGATTGAGGAGAGAGTTACACAAAACCAATCCATACGCACCCACAACAATCTGCAGACAGTTTGGGACTTCCTTCTGATAACCACCACATCTACTTCAACAATATTTCAAGTAAGGCTTTAAATTTAAGTATCAACATCTGTAAGGCACAGAGAACAGAAAGACAATAATATCTTTCCTTGGCTAGTATCTACACGTTCACCCACAGAACCTCATTTAGTCCTCCGTGTTTATCAGGGAGGACACAGAATCACAGCGTTTGAGCAATTTGCCCATAAGCAATCAAGAAGCAGTGCAACTAGAATTAGGACCCTGTTGGAATAACTTCTTGTATCTTCTTGCTCTTTCTACTCAAAGGAAGTAGAAAGTATATACCCAGTTCTCAAGCGTTGTTTTTCTTATCGTCCTTGTTGGGTGAGTGTGTTTAATGTGTTTGAGACAAGAGAAGTCAATGGTTTTGTTTTTCAGCTGATCAGTGATTGCATATACTCTGGTATTCATCATGATTTCAACTTTGATCTGCCCTTGAACCCTTTTTACTGCCCTTTATCAATATTTGCTAGCCGAATAGGTACAACAAATGTTAGGGAAGTTACTGATAAGAGGATAAATATGAGAGGCATTTATGAGGAAGTAAGACTGGAGGGGAATACCTTTGCTCAATTAGTCTCTTAATTTGAACAGGTAGCTCTCAGCAAGTATACTACAGGGTATATTCTACACAGGGTATTCTACAAGAAAGCAATATAATATAATGACTAAGAGCACAAGCTTTTGAATCCCAGCACCACCATTTACTAGCTTTACGGCCCTAAATAAATTATGTTCCCTTTCTGAATCTTAGTTTTATCTGAAAAAAGGAAGGCAAGTCTGATAACATACGAAGCACTAAGCACTGTCTAGCACATAGTAACACGTTGCTGCAGAGTTGATTCTGACTCATGGTGACCCCATGTGTTACAGAGTAGAACTGTTCCATAGGGTTTTCTTGGCTGGGGTTGCTATGAGTCCAAATCAACTCGACGGCAACAGGTTTTTTTGTTGGTTTTTTTTTTTTGTTTAATACTATATTATTAAGACAGGAAAATCAGCAAAGCAAACCTGAGATTTGTTTTCAACACCCATCAACAATGTCTGAACTCAAATGTTGGTAAACAGTCCGCAGCAGGAAAGGCCAATGGGCGAGTTAACCGCTGGGCACCCAGTGTGTGCAGTACTTTTCTGGATGTTTTTACAAAAGAAGTATCACTGTGGCCCAAGCTTACTCATAGGGCTAGCAGGCACAAAGTATTCAAGATATTACACAAACAAGGATTATATTGTTAAGTTGTGTGGTTCAACACTAAGTCACCTGTGCTGCCTGGAACAGATGGGGAGTGTCTCATCAGAGGGTGATCTTGAGCTAGATTGTAAAGAAGGATTGGATATGGGCAGGCAGGCAGTGGAACTAGGGCTAAGGGCTCTGAGATGGACTTGGGGGTGGACCTCAGTGTGGCCCGTGGGAGCCACAGGAAGCCACCTAGCATGATGGAACAGGGGTGCTCCCTGGGGAGCTGTGAGAGAGAGAGAGAGAGAGAGAGAGATGAACAGTGGGCCGGGACCAGGAACACACGCCATGTCCTTGTTCAGGGGTGTGTCTGTATGAAAGCTGTACTTCAGCCATCATAACCTGGCTGCACTATGTAGCACAGCCTGGAGGAAGAAGAGACTGTAGGCAGAGAGACAGGGTTCCTGGGGTGGTTCTGGCCTTAGGAAATGAGGGTGTGCAGGAGATAGCAATCGAAAGCAAGGGGCAGAGTCTTGTTTATGTGTCTATTGCAAATCCAATCCTTTTGCTTTGATTACAGCAGTGATGGAGTGAATGTCCATAAATATGTAGGAATTTCACAAGTCTCTTCCTACCTGCCAATAAGAATGTGACTCAGTGGATCTATTTATGGGCCTCCAACTCTATAATTAAAGCAACAGGTCTTACTTAAGCAGATGATCTCACAGCCCAGTCATAAACTAAACTCATATGCATGACTGTTGGAACTCTTCTTTCCTGCAGATCATATCTCTTATGCAAGGTATGTGCACATATACATGGACTTTTAGCTTTGGAATTATGAACAAACACACAAAAAAAAAACTCCCCCAGAAGCATTAGCTCAGTTAAACTAGAGGAAGGCTATCTTTTAAAACTTTTTCCACTATGTAATACATTCACATGGCTGGAATATTTTAAAGCATAAAAGGTACATAGTGGGAAAAGAGTCTCTTTCATCCCTGTTCCGTTTGTTCAGTTACCACCCTCCCAGCTAGGGACCACTGTTAATTACTTCCTTGATTATCCTTCCAGTAGCTTTTTGTGCACACACCAGACAATTCAGATATATTCACTTTCCCTCCTGTTTTACACAGATTGCAGCATACTAGACACATTTTCCTGCATCTTGCTTTTTTTCACATCTACTACGTATCCTGGAAATGTTTAGAAGTCTCTTGTGAAGAGCTTACTCTCTCTTTTTTTTTTTTTTTTTTTCTTTTTCCAACTGCGGATGTTTTTTGTAGAGCTGTAACATTGTTTATTTAAACTGCCCCCTCCTGATGGATGCTTAGGTTTCCAATCTTTTGCTAGTACAAGCAATGCTGCAATAAGTAACTTCATACACATGCATTTCACACGTGTGACAGTTTATCTGTAGAATAAATTCTTAGGACTAGAACTGCTGAGTCAAAAAACCGGAGAATTTGTAAGTTTGATAGATGCTGCCAAATTGCTGTCCTAAGAGTAATAAAAATTCACATTCCTGCCAGCACATCGGCTCCCTTGGGTTTTCCAGGTATATAATCAAATTATTTGTAAATAGTGATAGCTTTATATGTACCTGTCTGTTTTTCTATACCTCCAAATTCCTTTCTATTGTTTAATTGCATTGGCTAGTATCTCAGGTAGAGTGTTAAATAATAATGGTGATCGCTGGCTTCCTTGGTCTTGACTTTGGTGGGAACATCTCTAATGCAAAGAAGACTATTACCCCCGCTATAAAAATTTTCCGTTAAATAATAAACTTTATTCTATGATAAAGTTCCCTCGGTTCATTTAAAATATGATTCCATTCATAAAGAACATTACATATCAAAGATTCTTATGCACCAGCCATGCAGAGGAAGTCCTAAGCTCCAGCACCCCCCAACTTCAGGGCGCTGAGGTAGGTACTCACTGACAGTTGCTGGGTGAGCTGCTGAACCTTCTGTCTCATTTCATCATGGTCCCCATACACTCGCCTCCTTACTTCTTCCAGAGTGGCTCTCACCTGCGGTCCACAGAGACGCTAGTTAGACCTCGAGCTACACAGCCTTTTCATGCCCGATTTCCAAAGCATTAAGAAACTTTAATGCGAGAAGGGCCCCACAAAAAAGACATTCTTAAAAACAAGATAATTTGGGAGATTAAGGGAGAAGATCACTCTGGACGTTGAGTTAGAAACCAAGGGAATTTTAATTTATTAACTCTTTATTATCCTAACAATAAACTCTAAAGAAAAAAAAATGGTTTGTTGAAATTCACCTACCACCTTCAAACCAAGTTCAGGCAAGGTTTATCTCCTTCTCCATCACACATTTTTTTACAAGCAAACGTTGTTAATAAGTTGACTCTGCAAACACATGGTCAAGAGGACCAAAATACCAAAAAACAAAAAGCTACCTCTGTAATTTTCCCCATCTCTGTTCTAATCACCAAAAAGCAACTAAACATCTAGAACGTAAGGCAGAGGAGGATAAACCCATAAATTTGGATGTCAATTCCTTAATAATCACCAATAATACACAGGGCACAAAAGTGAAGTAACACTTGTTTACACGCCATTCAAGTTTCTCTATAGTACTACTGCCAGAGGAGTAATGGGGCCTTAACAGTTTAAAAAAACCTCACAGTCCCTGCCTCTTCCCTTCTTCCCAAGCCCCTAAAAGAGCTCCCAAACCCGCTGCCATCAAGTCTGCTGTCGAGTTGCTTCTGACTCATAGCAGCCCTGTAGGACAGAGTAGAACTGCCCCACAGGGTGTCCAAGGAGCAGCTGGTGATTTGAACTGCTGACCTTTTGGTTAGCAGCCAAGCTCTTAACCACTGTGCCACCAGGCCTCCCTAAAAGAGCTCAGGAATCTTCAAATGGGATAGGAAGTGTCAAAGGAGCCCTATCCGGGAATGCTCTGGAATTTCTAAACAGGAAGGGCTTAAATGCAGCAGTTTGGTTTGAATGACCGGCATGTAGGGGACAGTACTGGGGACTTGAAGCTTTATTTGCATAGTAAGCACGTTGTATTAAATGAGACTCTATGTCTATTGGGGTGGCTGGGCGGGAGAACATTGATGGAGACTGGGGAGGGGGGAAAGGATTAAGAACCCAAGGCCTTCTCAGATGAATTCTAATAGTAGAGTCAACTTTCTTGCCATTACCTGTGAAGATTTTGGAAGAACACAGCCAGAGCCCAGCTCTTCATTCTGGGCAGACAGAATGACTTTTGTCTGGGCCCTGAGTTGGCTCTTGAGCTGCTCACCAGTGGCTAAGTGGGTAGAATCTTGAGCCAGCTGTCACTCCCACAGGCAAACACTGGGGGAAGCCAGCCGGGCAGAGTCACACCAAGGGAGGAAAGCAAACAAACCCATAAACACACAGAAGTGACAACGCTCGGGATGGACTTGAAGCCGGGCTATAGAAGTTGGGACCTGGAAATTAACGTTAAATTGCGGATCATAGCAGAGGTTGGTGATTCTAGGTTAGAACCACCCCTACAACCTCTCCACCTGTCATCCGTGGCTCCAAACTGGCCTGAAACTGCTGTCTTTGTCTTGGGCGATTTGCAATGCTCCACTCTGCTTAGACTGTTAACCACAGTATCTGGGGGCGTTTAAATGAGGAAGAGCTAGGCATCTCCTTGAGGAAAACAGGGGAGACGTAGAATGTCAGCGCTGCTCGTATACGGGGAAATCTAGAATGAAATACTCTGAATGGTTCAAATTTACTTTGCGGGGGTTGGATGACTGGGGATTTGAGGCTGGTAGTTGTCACATATGATCTGTGCGTTAGCGTATGTGTGTGCAGCTTTTCTGGGCTTTGCTTCATTTCCTCTGTTAGGCATTTCTTATTTCTGAAATTTGATAAGATAGGTTCTTTGTAAAAACTCATACAAACATTAAGATAACATAGCTTTGTGTTTTATCTGCAAACCCATCCAATAAAATGGGGCTCACAGAGCTGGAGGTTTGGACCTTATGTGAGAAATATTTACATGAAAAAACAGAAACCCAGAAAGGAGAAGTGACGTGCCAGGCCAAACATAGGGCTGGACTTTGAACCAAGGTCCACGGGCTCACAGGCCTGGGTGCCTTCCGCTGCCCCACCCTGCCTCTGCTTCCCATGAGATAAGAACCTTCTAGCCCACAGGTCAGTGCTCAGGGCCCATCAATGTCAGAGAAGCTCTCTTCCTCTTTTATCTAATCAGGGGCCTTGGTTTGGGTGCATCAGTCAATCTAGGAAGACAACAGGTGGAACGAAAAGAAGTGGAGATAGATATGTGGTAGATGGACGGATGGACAGGGATAGAAAAGGTCAGAAGGAAATGCTGTAAAGTGTTAACAACTGTTTTGGATGAATTTGTGGCTAATTTTGTTTTCTTCTTTTTTTAGGGGGGTTAGAAGTCAGCATATTGATCAGAGGGCGTAGTGACTGGGAGAGGGCATTGTAGGGGTGAGGGGAGAGCTTCCAGGTGTACATAATGTTTTCTTTCTTGATTTGGGTGCTAGTTACAGGATGTGTTCCATTTGTCAAAATTCATTGAGCTGTACACTTAAGATTTGTGCACTTTTCTTAGTGTATGTTATACTTCAATAAAGAAGTTCACATAAAAGACAGAAATAAAAACTTGCCTCAATTCTCCCCCTCCAATCAAAGGAAAAAGAAGTATATTTAAGACTTCCTGTTTACCTTGTAAGGGAGAACAGTCAGTTCAAAGATGATACTATGAAGTCATAGACAACCTGCTTTGCCAGGGCTGATCTCAGCTAGGGCCACCCTTGGTTAACCGAGCTGCTAAGCACTGGTCCCAGTGGTTTCGAGCACAGTTTTTGGAGTTGGACAGATCTGGGTTCAAATCACAGCTGTATCCACCTGCTGACTGAGTGGCTTTTTTTTTTTTTTTAATTGTGCTTTAGATGAAAGTTTACGGCTCAAGTTAATTTACCATTCAAAAATTTATACACATACTGTTTTGTGCCATTAGTAGCAATCCCCACAATGTGACAGCACCTTCCCCCTTTCCATCCAGGGTTCCCTGTGTCCATTCAACCAGTTCCTGCCCCCTCATTCTGCTCTTGGATAGGAGCTGCCCATTTGGTCTTACATGTTTGATTCAATTAAGAAGCACATTCTTCATATGTATTATTTTTTGTTTTATAGTCTTGTCTAATCTTTGTCTGAAGAGTGGGTTTCAGGAATGGTTTGAGTTCTGGGTTAACACAGCATCCAGGGGCCATAGTTTTGGGGATTCCTCTAGTCTCTTTCAGACCATTAAGTTTGGTCTTTTTTTTTTTTTTAATTGTACTTTAGATGAGGGTTTACAGAGCAAACTTGTTTCTCACTAAACAATTAATACACATATTGTTTTGTGACATTGGTTGCCAACCTCACAACGTGTCAACACTCTCCCCTCCTCTCCCTGGTTCCCCACTACCAGCTTTCCTGTCCCCTGCTGCCTTCTCATCCTTGCCCTGGGCTGGTATGATTTTGTTTTCTTCTTAATATATTTTTGTATTTTCCAAATTTTCTCCAAAGAGTATGTAGTTAAAATGATAAGAAGTTAAATATTAAACACACACACACACAAAAAAAAAACATGGATTGCTTGTATTGTGCAATGTCCATTGTGGCTGACTTCTCAGCATCTGCTTACCCCGACCGATTGGTCTGAACCAACAATGGTCGTCCCATTCCTTGCCAGTGACATGCATGGGAATGAGTGAGTGACCCAGTCCTGGCCAATGAGACTCAAGAAGAAGTTTGACGGAGGGCCTCTAGAAAGTAATACAGAGAGGAGTGGCCTCTTAGCTTCCTCCAGACACTGTCACACTTTCAGATGATGTCACTCACCTGAGGCTGAAGGAGGAAAGAGCCAAAGGAAACTCAAGACAAGAGGAAATGAAGCCTGGAAGTGACCTGCTTGGAGCCCACCTACCCCTAGGCTGATGACCACTTGAGATAAACGTCTCCTTTGATTAAGCCAGTTTGAGCTAGCTTTTCTGTTACCTGCTGCCAAAATCATCCAAACTTGTGCAGGTTACTTTGGGGTGTCCAATGTAAAAAGCGAAACCACTTAAGAACTTCTGCTCCATATACAGAAGAAGGAAGCCATTTGGTGTCCCGAGTATCTGTACTTTGTACCATCCATCTCACAGAAGTTCAACCTATACCTCACTGCAGAATTACATCTGTGATTTCAACATTCCTTGAAGGTGTGTAGAGACATTTCCATCCAAAATGGTAACACTAAGAAATCTTTCAAAATGTCTTGCTACACTGACATCATTGCTGTCAACCGCATCCTCTTACACACTACAAAAAGAGAAGAAACTAGAAACACAGTCCTTAAATGACTCACGTCTTTGATGTAGTTCATCTCTTCTTTCAGCTGATTGGGGGACCACCCATACACCACCATTTCTTTCTGCTGATTTTCATCGGATCTTCGCACCACACCGTACACAACACCTTGAGGAAGTTTCCTGGGAGGTTCTCCATTGCTTAGGTCAGGATGCTGAAAACAGGTAGACAGAGACAGAAAGAATAATGACGCTTTAGCCTCATGCAAGCAGCTATAATAAGTGAGCCCATTGTGTGTGGTTATGCAGTTGTGCCCAGCACAGGGGTGCCTGGCAGCAGGGAGGGAGGGGACAGAAATCCAGCCTGGTCTCTATTCTCCAAGTCACATCTAGCATGGGCTTGGCCTGCCTTTACCCTGGAGAATGAGCACCTTTCTCTAATTTGTCCCAAGGCCCCATCCACTCGCCTATAGCACATTTGCAGGGCTGGATCTTTCTAGAGGGGGCATCTTTTTCTAATTCTGACAAAGGTGCCAGATGGGTTTGTGGTGTCCCTGATAACAAAAACAAGTGTCTGAAATCACGCATTCTTGTTAATTCTGTCTTTCCCCTTGGGTCAGTTCTCCTGTATGTCTTCAACTCCATCACTGCATATGTGGTCTGAAATATTACAGACTGAGGAAGAAAGTAAGGAGCCCTGGTGGCACAGTGGTTAAGCACTCAGCTGCCAACTGAAAGGTTGGCAGTTTGAACCCACCAGCTGCTCTGCAGGAGAAAGATGTGGCAGTCGGCTTCTGCAAAGATTTACAGCCTTGGAAACCCTATGGTGCAGTTGTACTCTGTCCTACAGAGGTGCTGTGAGTTGGAATCAACTTGACAGCAGTGGGGTTGGTTTTTGGTGGAAGAAGAATGTTGGTGGCCATCTGGCAGCCAAATTGTCCTCTGTGGTGAGGGCTGACTCTGGTGTTGAGAGGATGGGGGGTAGGACACAACCCGTTGTGACCATTCCTTAAATATTTCTGAAAAGCCAGGCAGAGGTGGTGTGACTTCAAAAGAATCTCCCTGATCCTGCCGGTGGATCCTTAATTCCTTCAACTAAAGCTTTGATCATTGTTGAAATGCAAAAACCCTGGGAAGGAGTACCACATCCAAGTTTTAACACACCTTTGTAGAATGAAGGCTTAGGAAGGAGGAGAAAGGGAAACCAAGTTTGGTCGCGCATCTACTAGAAGTTAGAAGGTTTCCTTAGCACATTTAATCTTTACAACTACTCTAACCCATTAAAAACCAGCTGTCGTCGAGTTGATTCGACTCACAGCGACCCTGTAGGACAGAGGAGAACTTCCCTACAGGGTTTCCAAGGAGCAGCTGGTGGATGCAAACTGCCTACCCTTTGGTCAGCATCTGAGCTCTTAACCACTGTGCCACCAGGGCTCCTACAACTACTCTATAACATAGTAATTGTCCTCCATAGCTGAGAAAACTGAAGTTCAGAGAGCATAAGTAACTTGCCTGTGGTCCCACACCTGGATTCCAGCCCAGGTCTGTGTGACCCTGAGTCCACTTCTCTATACTTCAGGCTTCGTTAGATGTAGGGCAAATAGTAGGGGGCTACACAACATGGAAGGGACAGAGGCCAAGAAAAAAATCAAGACCCAGGGCTGAGACTTCATAGACAAACTGGCCTGCTCCCAGTTTTCCCTGGGGCTGACCCTGTACATCGATGAGGCCACAGTACAGGAGCGTGAATTCCATGAGGGCAACTCTGCTCTCAGTGATCTTTAAACTACTTCTGCACAGATTCTGTCTATGCACTCCCTACAAAGTTTTGACATACAAAACTGTAATATGCATTTTTAAATCATTCATTGAGTCAGAACAATAAGTACTCTATGACCCCATTCATTCAAAAGTTGTAAAAGCAAAAACAACAGAATCCAGAAAGATCCATGAGAAGTTATCAATAATGACGAGCTCTAAGGAGGAACCGTGAGGTGGACAGAGGTGCTGACAATGGGCATGACTACCATTGTTTTCTTTATACCCTGATGTAGTATTTTTGGTTTTACAATAAAAACTTTTTACGACTGAATAAAACATCTATTGTTTCCCACCCTTCTGCACACCTCTGGGAAGAAATGGGGTGTGAGGGGTTGTGACATTTTGTATTTACTTCCGATAAATGCCTACACGTGAGTCCCTTATAGTTAGGTCCCACACACTGCCCCTAAAATGCAGATGGAAGTTAAGGTGACCAGGCTGTTAAGTGGTTCTCTGTGGAGTGACAGGCTGGGATTAAGAACCCCTTAGGTACTAAGCATATAATTAGGAAGAGGAAAAGCTCTAATGAAACCTCCACATTCCAGGAAACAAAAGCCCGCTCATTCAGTCTCCGGCTCCACCCAGTTCCTGAAAAACAAGCTAGCGACCACACACAGCTTCCGTAAAATGCATTTTTGCAAAGCAAAGAGTTTCTTAGGTGGGTTGGTTTGCAGGAAACCCCTCAGGTGACCGGATTAGGAGGAGTCTGCATTGGCATGGGAACCATGTGGGGAGATGAGGACCATCACCAACGGGGAAAAACACAAACAACCCATGCTACATGCTACTACATGCTAGAGGTCCTGGATCTAAAGGTTACACACCTGGAAAGATGCTTAAGATACCTTTATTGTTTTAAAATGTCTGTCAGCATAAAACATCTAGAAGGATGGAATTCAAACCATTTATGACCGTTTCCTCAGTAGAAGGGGGTTTCGCTTTTTCTTTTCTGTTCTTTTATACTCTTTGAATTTGTTTTTGGCACAACAACAAAAAAAAGCATTATTTTTGAATTAATAATTTTTATTTTAATTAAAAAAAAAGATTTTTGAAACGTCAGGGTTAAAATGAAAGGCCCACAGGGACGGGTCTGGTCACAGAACGCCACTCAGAAGCAGGGCAATCACCCCATCAGGAGAGGATTCCTGAGCCAGCCTGCGGAGCTGCTGGGCTATGGCACGGAAAAGGAACACACGTTTATCAAGAAAGAGAAGCAGAAGGACATTTGCTGTCTAGACATTTGACTATACAATATTTTCTTTCATCCTCACAATAACCCTACTGTGTAAATATTATTAGCTCTTCCAAGGCAGCAAGATTCAAATACCTATCTGTGACTTTACAAATTTAAGTTCTTTGCTTGACCACAATGCCTCCAAATACTTAACAGTCAGGAGCAGAAATGGAACTCACATCTCTATGTGGTGGCCCAGCGCCTCAAAGGGTAGGGAAGCCAGACCCTGGCCTGCACGTCCTGGGTCTTTTTGGAAGAGATGGCCGGGATAAGGAGGCTCTTCTCTAGTCTGGGTCCACTCCCCGGTCATCCACACCAGCCTCATTGCTCCTTTCTGTTCCTTTACTGGCCAACCTCCTTCTTGCCTCAGGGCATTTACACACGTTGTGCCCTCTGTCTGCACTGCTCACTGCTGTCCTCGAGTAGATTCCAACTCATAGTGACCCTAGAGGACAGAGTAGAACTGCCCCATAGGATTTCCGAGGAGTGGCTGGTGGATTTGAACTGCCGACCTTTTGGTGAGCAGCTGAGCTCTTGACCGCTGTGCCACCAGGGCGCCACACTCCTCTCAGTTCAGCTCAAACATCCTTCCTTCAAGGAAGCTTTCATTGACTCTTCAGACATTCTCCACAGCAATCACCACAACCATACCGAGGGATTATTAGTATCGTGCAGTATGTAAGGCTTGCCTCCTTGTAAGCTCCAAGGAGGCTACGGCCATGTTTGTCTTCTTTTCCACTATAATCCCGAGTATCTACCCGTGATTGACATGCAGTGGTGTCCTCAATAAATATTTGCTGAATGAATAAATTGGAAGAGATTCTGGGGAATTCGCTAGAGGATGTAAATATGGCTTTGCTGAAGGGAACACCCTTTGTCCCTGTGAGATAAACAGGCTGGTAGCTGATGTTTGCCCCACCACTTCCTATTTGGAGGACGAGAGACATCACAAAACGTATACACAGATTAAAACAATGGACACCTATTAAAACTCTTGGCCATGAAGCAATACTAGGCAAAATCACCCTGAAAACAAAAGCCTCGATAAATGCATGGAACAAAAGAAGGTTATCACCAAAGAAGCCAAAAGAAAACAACAGAAAAGGCATTCGACAATCCCTAGGTGGATCCACACAGGTTTAATCAGTAAAACCTACTTTCTCAAGCCATTTCCTGCGATCTACTCCCAGCTTAAAATTTACCTGTAGGCTGACATGATGGCCATTTTCCCTAGAGAGATGTTTAGCAGCAAGGTCCTAGAAAGAAGGAGAAAGTATAGAAAAGTAACTCAGTCTAACTTCCTGCTGTAATGTCTTCACTGCCATTGGAGAATGTGGGTTAGTGAGGCCAGCGATAGGGGACCGCAGTGCCAAACCCTATATCAAAATAGGGAGCTCTGGTGGTGCAGCGTTTAAGAGCTTGGCTGCTAACCAAAAGGTCAGCAGTTTGAATCCACCGGTTGCTCCTGGGAAACTCTATAGGGCGGTTCTACTCTGTCCTATAGGGTCACTATGAGTTGGAATTGACTCAACGGCAACACGTTTAACAGGTTATATCAAAATATATGATCTCGCAATGCAAGAAGCTCCACAAAGGCAGAGGCTTTATCTGCCTTATTCACTGCTATATCCCCGATGCTTAGCACAAACAGATGCACAGTTTTGATGGAAGGAGTTTGGTCATCCTAGCCACTTGGGATCAATCTGTGCAAAGGATGAGGATCCTTTGGTCAATAAGAGCTCTCAGGGAATAAATAACAGCAGAAACACAGCTTAACGTAATCAAACTGACATTGGCAGACAGCTGCAGCCAGTCCCCAGGCCCAGAGGCCAGAAGAGGCAGCTGGTCACATTCCCAGGCTGCAAATACACCTTGGACGTTCCCTAACATGAACTGAATGACTTGCAAACTAGAAAGCAAGTTATTTCCCAAAACATCTTGCTTTGGACCTCTTCTCTCCAGCCTAGGGCAGCAGCTGACCCAGGGACAGCTGGGAGCTGACCGCCAATGGGCGTCCTAGGCATCTAGCAGGCAGAGGATGTCCATCCCTTTCAGGAATGTGCCCTGGCCTGTCTGACCTGCGTGTCCATCTTAGCAAAGCACTGGGCCCCGTCATCACTCACATTTGGCTTTGCCTTCTTGTGACAAACATGAACGTCA